TGAAACATGTTTTACATTATATTACATTTAACCAGTTTAAACATGTTTTTTTTTAGATTTCCTTACAGTATAGTAATCACAGTCACGATACAACACAGCATGCACCAATCTAATCACAATTGACGGAGAACATTTGGAAGATATAAAAACCTTTACATATCTGGGCAGCATCATTGATGAACACGGAGGATCTGATACAGATGTGAAGGCGCGGATCGGCAAAGCAGGAGTAGTATATTTACAACTGAAGAACATCTGGAACTCAAAGCAACTGTCAACCAACACCAAAGTCAGGATTTTCAATACAAATGTCAAAACAGTTCTACTGTATGAGGCGGAAACTTGGACAACTACGAAAGCCATCATCCAGAAGATACAAGTGATTATTAACAGTTGTCTATGCAAAATACTTCAGATCCGTTGGCCAGACACTATTAGCAACAACCTACTATGGGAGAGAACAAACTAGATGCCAGCGGAGGAAGAAATCAGGAAGAAGCGCTGGAAGTGGATAGGACACATATTGAGGAAAGCATCCAACCGTGTCACACGACAAGCCCTCATATGGAATCTTTAAGGCCAAAGGAAAAGAGAGAGACCAAAGAACACATTACACCGGGAAATGGAGATAGACATGAGAGAAATGAACAAGAATTGGATGGAACTAGAAAAGAAGGTGGAGGACAGAGTGGGTTGGAGAATGGTAGTCGGCAGCCTATGCTCGATTGGGAGTAACAGGCGTAAGTAAGCAAGTAGGTAATCACAGTATTCACGAATTCTTGAATTCATTATTCAACTTGAATGATACATAAACTGTGAATCGTCAGTTGACTTAATGAAAGAATATTTACATGTAAATAGATCAGTCTATAAACATCTGGCTAACAATGGAATGTAGGACGCGTGTTTCGTCCTATTCAGTACTCGTCAACTAAGTAAAACAATATCACATGAATCACTAAGTTTTATTTAGTAGTTACTATACTTATTCCACCTAGTTATATTAAGAAGAGAATGTTCAGTTTATAGTATGATAGATCTAGTGTCATAGATGACATATATGACATATATGAAGTATATAACATAATCAAACTATTCAGAATGATTATTGACAATTGACAGTTAGAATAACGGTGATAGATGAGTCAGATTACGGTGTGATAAATTTGTTTAAATAATAAACTAGTAATTAGAAGAAAGAAATTAATCAAACTAGAATTGATCATTCCTTCAATCTATCTTAATGTATTTATTTCAATACATAGGCTCTACACAAGTCACTTGATTTGTGTGTAAGGTGATACTGCCCAAGTATCGAGACCGAAATAGGTGATTTTCTTGAGGAGGCTACATCCGAAGCGTTCGATTTAAAAGTCTAATCCATAAGCCATATCAGGAGATACAGTCCTATGGTAGCCGGTGACCAATAATTGGTTCATATGCCATTTGTTCCTTCAGGATTCTTAGAGTTCATGTTCCCGATTGTTTTAGAATAACGGTTTTCCAACACCCTTAGATGAATTCTCCTTATCCATTAACCCGATTAAAGAGCCGAACATTCGATTTTAGTCCACTCGTCATCGTCATCGTCATGTTTTGGGGTTAATAAATCTTCATTTATACCAGTCCTTGTCTTCTTATTTTCGTGTCGTGGAAAGTGCAGAGGTCCCTCGTTCCGAGTATAATTGATAAGCGTTTCGACATAACAATCAACGACGACCAGATATAAGAAGTAGCATTCAAACGGCAAGACATATCAGTAGCGATGGAGATTGACAAGGTATAATAGTAGGAATTTCCTGACAGTGTCTGTATATGCGTAGTTATCTGAGAGCATTTCGAGAGGGAGAGCTGACTCTCCTCATTTTCGGCCATACCAGGGAATTTAGGTGGGGGGACCTAATTAAATCGGTCAATAAAATGAACATGCTTTTATTTTTATTTTAACACATAGATATTGGTACCATGAGGCACCAAATACATATGAGCCACACAAATCTTATTTCATATGTGTGAGGGCTGTGATACTCTCCGGGTGCTCAAACCAAAGCCGATGGTTATCTTAGGGGGGCCACACCCATAGCCTTCGACCTGAAGGTCTGGTCCACAAGGCAGTGGAGCATCGTAAGCAGATGCAGTCTCATGGTAGCCGGTTACCGACGATTGAATCATACGCCATTTGTTCCCTCAGGATACTGGAGCCCATGTGCACCATTAGTTTGGAATCAGGGTTTTCTGTATTCAGACCATGATTTCAGACTATAAATTTTCGCAACGAAGTCAACTATTAAAGGTTTTATCACACTGACATAGGTCCACATATCCAGAAAGAACTATATTGCAATTTGAATGGTACATCAGAAACTCAATAATTTATCATCTTTAAACACAGTTCATAGAATATTCGACATCATAGGCTCAACAGATGCTGTCTAGTCTGTCTGTATATAAACTAATTATGTCTGAAATATAAGATTCACTCATTGGAGGCTGATATTTGTGTTTTGAATTGAACAGGCTGGGCTAGACAAAGAGTTACTATACAGAGGATCAATAAATATTCAGAGTTGACTCAAAGCTGCTAGTTCTGTTTGATGCATCATTGGTTTAGCATAGGGATATGGTCATAGAAATTGGTATTCTTAATGATGCGATTTGACAATGTTGAATCATACTGGATATTGATCGAACAGATAAGACTCATCATTACAAAGTGTCAATTAACTGAAGCAATATCTGTAAATCATGGCCGAAATTTAATCGAAAGTTATCCGTAGTCACTCATTATCTATAACATCTTTGTTAACAAGAAAACAACCACACCTTCTAACATTTCAATGAAAATATATCTCACCACATTTGCTATAATTCGAAAATAAGAAGAATTATCCAATATATGTTTCTTACTTACTTACACCTGTTACTCCTCGTGAAGGAGAATAGACCGCTCACCAGCATTCTCTATCCAATCCTGTCTCAAGAAATCCTTTCCAACTCCTTCCAGTTGTTATTCATCCTTTTCATATCTGCTTCTATTATCCGACGTAATGGGTTCTCTGGCCTTCCACTTTTCCGATTCCCTTCAGGATTCCATGTTAGGGCTTGTCTCATGATTCAGTTTGATGATTTGCGTAATGTATGTCCTATCCATTTCCATCGTCTTTTCCTAATTTCCAATTCAGCTAGAAGTTGGTTTGTTCTCTTCCACAGTAGGTTGTTGCTCATGGTATCCGGTTAATGGATGTTGAGTACCTTGCGTAGACAACCATTTATAAATACTTGTACCTTCTTGATGGTGGTTGTAGTAGTTCTCGGAGTTTCAGCTCCGTATATCGTGACTTTGATATTGGTTGAAAATTGTTTTGACTTCCATATATTCTTCAATTGTAGGAATGTGGCCCTTGCTTTGCCAATGTTTCACTTGAAGTAAAATGTTTATCTATACAGTTTCACAATGAATAAGTTATTTTGGATTATGACGAAATGAACATCAATTTTCATCTTAAGTCATTAGGATAAGATGCTAAACATTGACTACCATGGAAAATCTGGAAGTATTGGATGACCATTTCATCCTATTGTAGGACTCTTCAGCAGTGTGTATCTATGATCCTGCCTCATGAGATTCGAACCTAGGACTTATCGGTTTCACACATGAAATCACTGTCCACTACTTCCAGGTTCTTCATGATAATCTAATTTTAATTGACTCATGAATTCAACTAGCAAACAATTATTTTTGAAATGTGAACATAAGTTTGTTTGCGTAGGTAGTCGTATTGTCTAAATTGGATGGAAAAATCATACACAACACAGAACCAAATAATTCAAAAAACAATAGGAGATACAACCAAAAATAAAGAAGTAAACAATAATAATAAGGTTAAGGTCAACAAGAACCAATCAACATTGAGGTCAATAGGACAAGCTATGAATCGTATATGGAGAAATTTGAACACTTCACTTCTACCTGAAATGTGGGTAGTCTATTGTTAAATGTTAAGCTGTTCAACATAAACATAATATGACCTCCACTATAAGTTGTTTATTTTTAAATCAATAAATCCATGTGTACAATTTCATGACCAATATTTTATTTTCACAGATTGATATCATGAGTCAATTGAAGCTAGACCACCATTGAAAACCTGGAAGCACTGGACGGCCCTTTCGTCCTCGTATGGGACTCCTCAGCAGTGGTCTAATGGTTAAGTGCTCGCGCGCAAAGCCAGTAGGTCCTGGGTTCGAGTCCCGCGTGGTGCGGGATCGTGGATGCGCACTGCTGAGGAGTCCCATACGAGGACGAAACGGCCGTCCAGTGCTTTCAGGTTTTCAATGGTGGTCTGGCTTCAACTGACTCATGATTTCAATCTGTCAATATTTTATTGTTCTACATAATTGGTGTTGTTTCTAATTTATCATTGAGCAAACAGCTAATGCATGAAATGGTGGAGAAGATTAGTAGCTCAGATGGATGATTTTGATGGAGTTTTGTTCTCTGAGTTGGATAGTTTGGTCGTGGAACTTTCATTGTTCTTCTGAACGATATCATCACCAGCACAAACTTCAGATAGAAGTGAAGTGTTCGAATTTCTCCAAATGTGTTTCACAGCTTGTTCTGTGCACCTCGATGTTGATTGGTTCTTGTTGACCTTAAATTTATCATTGTTTACTTCTTTGTTTTGGTTGTGTCTCCCATTGGTTTGATTTTTGTTCCTATATTTGTGCATAATTTTCCTGATTGGTTGATAAATTGGGTCAATATCAACGTGCTTATTGATTGCTGATTGACCCGAGTGCCAGGCTTGCAAAAAATTCTCTGGTGTTTTTGGAATTTCCTCTGTCCAAGATTTCCACATTTTTCCAACCGAATGAGTGTCCGCAGTTGTCCACGTGTATTGATATAAGTGAGGAAGTGTCATGGCGTTTGACTGCTAATTGATGTTCATGTAGGCGAAGGTGAAGGGGGAGTCCACTTTCTCCGATCTAGTGTTTGTCGCAGTTGGTACAATTTATTTTGTAGATGATGTTTGATTTGTTTTCCTTTGTTATTTCATCCTTTGGTTTGCATAGGATTGATTGTAGTGATTTTGTCAGTTTGTGTGCCACACCTATCCCGAAGGTTTTCAGCAGTCTCGTTGCGGTTTCTGATACGCCTTTTATGTGTGGTAGGGAGATCCTTTTGTTGATTTTTGTGGTTGACGTAGGTTCTGATGCTGAATATTTTCTAAATATGGAGAATGGTGGAGATAATAGAGAACAAGGAGATACTATAGTTTATGGACGAACCAATCATGTATAAGATAACAGGTGTCGGATTATGGCGCGAAATTCATTCATTCATTTAGCTAAATAGAATTTTGGCATTTCAGTTTATCTCAGTTCGTGATTAAAACCATTAAATTTGATTCCTAACCCTAATTATCAACTGTAAATCATAATTCCGATTCCTCATACTGCTTTATAACCGCCATTTGCTCCTAGTTGTTGGGTAGACACTATCTAGGTCACTCTAACATCCCTCAAAGGTCGACCGCCGACAACAAAATAAACTTTCATTTGAAAATTTATGTTTACACTTTAGTTTCTCAGTTTTCCCTCACCCAATACATTCAATTATTCATTGTGGATAGTTTTTCACTTTCAATATAATGTCTCTGATTAGAAGAATGTTTTGCTGTAATGACTTGATTGTAGTTTGTTTTACGAACATTGTTGGCAAAGGCAAGAAGCACTAAATAGATGTATCGTCTCAGTTTGCGACTGCACATCAAGGTACATTCTTGCTGATATAGGAAAAACTAAATCTCACAGAGTAATATTGGTGGTAGTGATTACCTTTATTTTGCCTATCTGTATTCCCATATCCAGTTGTATAGCAATGTTTTATAACAATTAACCGACCCAATCACAATTGACGGTGAAACTCTGAAAGAGGTGAAAAGTTCCATGTACTTGATCAGCATTATAAATGAACAGGGATGATCTAATACAGGTGAAGATTTGCAAATCAACAACAGCATTCTTATAGTTGAAGAAGATATGGAACTCGAAACAACTGTCAACCAATATCAAAGTCACAATTTTCAATACGAACGTCAAAACAGTTCTACATACGGAGCTGAAATTTAGAGAACTACCACAACCATCATTAAAAAGTTATAAGTATTTATAAACAATTGTCTACTTAAGATACTGAATGTCCATTGATCGGATACCATTAGCGACACCCTTCTGTGGGATAGAGAACAAACCAGCTTCCATCTGAAGAGGAAATTAGGAACAAACGTTGGAAGTACATAGGGCATACATTGTGGAAATTATTAGACTGCATCACGAAGCAAGCGCTAACTTCGAATCCTGAAAGAAAATAGAAAATAGGAAAACCAAAGAACACACTGACTTGGTAATCGGAGGCAGATATTGGATAGGATGAATAACAGTTGTAAACAACTTGTAAAGATTGTCCAGGACAGAGTTGGATGTAGAAAAGCTAATAGACGGCCTATACTCCTTCTCCATGAGGAATAACTTGAGTAAGTAAATAGAAACACCAACAAAAACAACACTAAGGGCTAAGAGCTCGTTTTATTCATATGGAATTCCAATTTTACTGTTATTCATTACTATACTATGATTACTATTGATCTATTCAACTTGATTGTCTTTCATATTGAGTTGTTTAGATTTACTTAAGGTAACTTATTGATTGACTGTCAGATTTGGTTGATAGGTGAATTTGACTATGATGATATATTCTAGATTATTACAATTATGTATCATATTCTACTATCAATACTGACCGATATGAGTAGTATTGAATTGTATATAATAGAAGATTCTGTTATGAATGTAATAGAAACTTATAGTTGTCTTGTTTGTTTGTTTGTTTATTTTTCTCACTGAAAGGTCATGTTATTTATGTCATTAACTACTGCTGTGATTTTAATACATTATTAATGATGTGCCAATGTATAATACAAGTTGAGAAAGAAGTATGTTAAGTGTTGATTGATGATTGTTTGTGTGAATCTTCTCATGGATGATTAGGACTGCTACTGATCAGTCCTCTTGTTGGCATATACACATACTATACGGATTGTCAGAGATGAATGATGACTGGTAATGGATTACAGTTTGACGCGTGTTTTATCCTATACTTGTCAATTGGATATATCTACATCATAGAGTTGATGTTCATTACGGGACTCGAACCCGGTATAGTTCGCTTCAAATGCCATAGAGTTATTCATTTAGCTACTGAGTTATGATAGTCACTATCAGGATGAAACGCGTGTCCTGAATAATTCCAATGTTAGCCACCATCGCTTAAAATGTTTATTTTTTTAATGCTTTTTCCTCTATACGGACTCATTTTTCCATAAAAATATTACTTACTTACTTACGCCTGTTACTTCCAATCGAGCATAGGCCGCCGACCAGCATTCTCCAACACACTTTGTCCTCCACCTTCTTTTCTAGTTCCATCCAGTTCTTGTTCATTTCTCATGTCTATCTCCATTTCCCGGCGTAACGTGTTCTTTGGTCTTCTTCTTCTCCTTTGACCTTAAGGATTCCATGTGAGGATTTGTCGTGCGACGCAGTTGGGTGCTTTCCTCAATATGTATTCTATCCAGCACTTCCAGCACTTCTTTCTGATTTCTTCCTCCGCTGGGATCTGGTTTGTTCTCTCCCACAGTACGTTGTTGCTAATAGTGTCTGGCCAACGGATCTGAAGTATTTTGCATAGACAACTGTTAATAAACGCCTGTATTTTCTGGATGATGGCTTTCGTAACTGTCCAAGTTTCCGCCCCATACAATAGAACTGTTTTGACATTTGTATTGAAATTACTGACTTTGGTGTTGGTTGACAGACAGTTGTTTTGGATTCCAGATGTTCTTCAGTTGTAGATGCGTTGCTCTTACTTTGCTGATCTGCGCCTTCACATCTACATCAGATTCACCGTGTTCATCTATGATGCTGCCCAAATATGTAAAGGTTTTTACATCTTCCAAATCTTTTCCGTCAATTGTGATTGGATTGTTGCATGCTGTGTTGTATCGGAGAGTCCTGCTTTTCCCTTTGTGTATATTGAGACCTACCGCTGCTGAGGCTACTGTCACACTGTTCGTCTTCTCCTCCTTAAAAATATAAGCGTCAGTATTGACTGCTTATGTGTTCTTACTAACTTAGTGGAACTTTTCTAGATACATACATTCCAGTATTCATTTTGAAATAATCAAATGTAGTGAACACATTCAAGTATATAGTGGTTTCATAGAAATTAACGGTAATGAAAATTTTTAAAAAATTCTTAAAAGCTAATTATAATGATAATGAATGATGACAATGTAAAATTTCAGCTCAGAGAACAAAAAACAAGCCATAGAAACACATTTACCTAAGCGATGAATCTTGATTATTTGAAACCTCAGAATTATTATATTGTAATTATGGATCATATCATTGATTATCATGATGCCTTGGATGATGATTATGCATTGGATGATGATGATCCCTTGGACGATGATGATGATGATGATGCATTGGATGATGATGATGCCTTGGATGATGATGATGCCTTGGATGATGATGATGCCTTGGATGATGATGATCCCTTGGATGATGATGATCCCTTGGATGATGATGATGATGCATTGGATGATGATGATCCCTTGGATGATGATGATGATGCATTGGATGATGATGATGCCTTGGATGATGATGATGCCTTGGATGATGATGATGTCTTGGATGATGATGTTTTTGATGATGATTTAAATTAACGTTCTACTTTTATTCATTATGATTTCTAACTTCTACATACACATTAAGCATGTAGACTTAAAATATTCTTGTCAAATTTGTCATTTCAGTTTTAGGCCTACATGTTAGATAGTTTCATATGAATGAAGGTTTTTTTTTAGTATGCATCTTATTCATATCATTAAAAAATACATGAACAAATATTCATGCACAGTAGTCTTTTACATTGGAATTGCTGTTTTCAATCTGAATATCACATACACTATCGAATATGAATAGGCATTAAACCATTGCATTCTTGTTGTTTGTTTAAATTCTCTGTGATTCTTTTGTACTTGATTACCTGTTGATTTCGAATTTCAAATACAACATGTTCGTTTATGTGTTTATCTAATTCTGTCTGATTTAAAGTGTATTGTTTCGAGAATTCCTAGTGAGTACAATCTTTCGAATACTACTGATCATTATACTCTCTCTCTCTCTCTTACACACACACACACACACTTAGATACATAAAGCTGACTTGTGATTGTGTTTTCATCATGAATCGTATTCTGTCCATGTTTCTTATGCTGAGATAAATATATTTCATGTGCAAAGGTCGTTTCACTAGGACAAAGTTGGATAGCGAGTGCTGATGAACGGCCTATACTCCTTCACGAGGAGTATTAAGCGTAAGTAAAGGTAGTTTAAGTCGTCGCTTCAATTGAATACATATACATATTTTAGTATTAAGAAACTATCACCTTAAAACTCAGTAGATCAACAAACACGAAGCTACCTTACAAAGAGCACAATGAAAGACAGAAACAATTAATATGGGTCAATAGTTGTAACATATAAAGTGTTAATCAAAAGATCATAGTACGATTATTTGAAATTTACTGTAAATGATTTAGTTATATGTCCAATATCTAGGTGTTGTACTATTAGTTACTTTAATTTTTCCAACAAACTTCATTATTTGGATTTGTAAAACAAACTACAATTGATATATACTGTATTCTTATGTGTTCTATTGTGGTGTGTGCTACTTATATTGACATAAGTAGTATGTGATGTTAGTTGTGAACAGAAGGTCTGGCAGCATAGAGACAAGAGGATCGAACAGTAAAGAATGGAAACAGGATGCAATTTGTATGGAAATGTAAGAACAATGAAATCTGAGTCATTATGAGACAAGTGATGGACATTTTTCGAATTAAGCATTTACTTTATGATTGTTAGATTTTATTATCAGAAGAGGTTTGTGGAGATTTTAGAAATTTCACAGATTGAAATCATAAGTCAATTGAAGCTAGACCACCATGAAAAACCTGGATTCGAATCTCACGGGGTGCGGGATCGTGGATACGCACTGCCACGGAGGAGTCTCATACTAGGACGAAACGGCCGTCTAGTGCTTCCAGATTTTCCATGGTGGTCTAGCTTCAATTGACTCATGATTTCAATCTGTGAAATTTCTAAAATCTTCACAAACCCCTTCTGATAATAGTCATCTGCTCACTAGTGACTGACTTCAAGAGATACTCCTGGAGTTCTAGTGAGAAACCGTTACCCGTGGATTTCAACGAGGTCGTTTGTGAGATATCAATTCACTGAAGACAATGGTATATGTTAGATTTTATTAACAAGTCCTGTAATGTTGTGTTAAATACATTCAGTTGCCCCCATCCATGTTCTGTTCACTACAATACTATCTGATTTTAACTAAGCTTTAACTATAATCAACTATCTGTCTATACAGAAATATGAATTTTGTTTTGTTTTAGTCAATTGCTTAAATATTTAAGAGGACTAGTCTTTACTTCATATAATTAACCTTCATACTGATCCGACGGTAACCATATCACGTTGAAAGCACCGGTTCTTGTCCATACTGATCTGGGGGGGGGGGGGGTAAAGATCGACCGATATCTTACTGTGTTACTCTGGAGATAGTAGAAGTTTGTTTGATGAACTTATGTGAAACTTTGATAAGTTATCAGAAGTAGTGTATCGTATAGTTAAAAGTGAAATGTATAGATGAAGAAAGAATTCTCCTTTAGGTACTTCACTAGATTATCTCAAGGAAGGTTTATCAATTGTGTTGAGAAACAGAGAGAATAGATGTAGAATATAGGTTAATCAGTGCACAGGGGCCGACATTAAACTTCTCTGTGGTATAAACGTGAATGGATACATCGTCAATAGACGAATTCCAAAGAAAAGTGATTTGAATACTTGATATTCATTCATTTTTCAAAGTCACTGGGTTATGATCTATGGTTAATCTCATCTATACCTTTGTGTATACTATAAAGTGTGTCCACTTCTGTCTATGCATGCAACGTATACTGTAGACCGGAAATATCTATGCCTGTGCGTGTACTATGTAATGTATATGCATCATATTAGGTCAAATATTTTCATTTTATGAACTTTGTCGTAAAATCCTCAACTTTTATTAATATAGCCCACGAACTCAAGCATTTTGTTTTATGTAACGGCTAATGATACTCTCCGATTGTCCAAACCTTTACAAATAATCCTGTATTCAAACTTGAAATCCTTTGAATCAAGATTGAATACTTTAGTCATCATCATTTCACTGAACTACCATTGGGTATAAATATGCGAATAAATTTTGAATACACATATTTCGTATGCTCTTTGATCCAAACAGACAATTAGATAAATGAGCTAGAGAAAACGAAGAGTAGCTGAAAAGTTAAGTTAGCCAACTTAATTCCATAAAGTGTGATTCAATACTTATAGTCAGACTTAAATAAGCTACAGATGGATAGATTTATATATTTATTTTAACACATAGATATTGGTACAAGGACGCATCAAATACATATGCGCCACACAAATCTCATTTGATATGTGTGTGAGCTGTGATACTGCTCGGATGCCCAAACCGAAACAGGTGGTTTTCTTTAGGGACCACACCCATAGCCTTCGACCTGAAGGTCTGATCCACAAGGCAGTGGAGCATCGTAAGGAGATACAGTTCCATGGTAGGCGGTGACCAACGATTGGTTCATACACCATTTGTTCCTTCACGATACTGGAGCTCATATGCCGGACATTCGCTTTTCGTCCTCTCGTTTTCGTAAACACCCCGGTCACGAGAAGGCAGTGAGTAGGACTTCCCTGGCAGAAGCTATATACGCGTGGCCATGTGAGAGCATTTGGAGAGGGAGAACGGACTCTCCCCACTCTCGGCCGTACCAAGGTATTTGGGGGCGATGGATAGATTAAGCAACGCACAAACATATCACTCATGTAAAAATAGTCAACATTAATCAGCAAATAATTGACAAGGTAAAAATGTAATTAGAGAACAATGAATAAATAGGTCTTTACAGAAGTTAGAATAATCCATGTTGGTTTAACATGGCACCAGATACTACAGAATATAATTGTATGTAATAGTATATTCTGATACATATTTAACAGAAAACAGTGATTTCCCCCCCCCCCCTATAGTTTGTGATATGATTAACACAATAGAAATTTTGAACACTTTTTCTACTAAAGTATCCGTCGCTTATCAGTTTGAATCAAGTCGTCATTGTTGAACATATTAGTTACTTACGAATAGATTTCGTAACGTGTATTGTCCAATTTCGATATTGATATGCAATCGTTCTCTATATGAACAAAACCGCTTAGAGACTGAGAAAAAGAAAGGAAGATTATTCAGTAAACAGAATCAGGAATATATATATAAGAAGGGGGCTTTGTGGATATTATAGTAGTTTTAATAGTTGAGATCATGAGTCAATTGAAGCTAGACTACCATGAAGAACCTGGAATCACTTGAACGACCGTTTCATCCTACTGTGAGACTCCTCGACAGTGTGCATCCACGATCCCATCTTGAGAGATTCGAACTCAGGACCTATCGATCCTATCAGTGATATCTCATACCTTAGAAATAGAAGTCATTTCTTGGGCGATCATAAACAGTTATCATTCGACCGATTTCTAATTGGAGCAATGTATTAAAAAGAATAAAGGTTTCGTCTCATTGTACTTTTCAGTTATGCTATTTATAGTATATGATAATCAGATAGATATTTTGATCCAACAGAAACAGTTTAAACTCTTATAAGGTACATTCTACAAGCGTACTCGTATATTATAGTCACTTGTTAAGTATAATCAGAAGTATATTGAGAAAGGTGTATCTTTAAAGAAGATCGAAGCATTAGTTCAAGAGATACATATCTAAATAGAAACTAGTCAAATATTTAGATATTTATATCCAAAATGAAAGAATTCACAAACACTTATGAATGGGAACAAGCTACAGGTAAAAATACTTTACCGGTCGTGTTCTTCTTGTTTCTTAATACAACAAGTCATAGTCAGAGAGGACAGAGTGTAATATGGTTGAGAAAAAGCTATTTCCTTAGCATTCACCTTCTAAAATAACAGAGTTAACGGAGGCATTACTTTTATGGTGAAAATTGAAGCATCTATACATTATTGATTGTTTTAAATATCAAAAAATAGATAAGTCCCATTCAAAGTTACTTCACAATACGTCTAACACTTCAAATACATGCACAGATACACACATATGAAATCTACTTTTAGATAACAGTTCTCAGATTTTGGCGCGAATTTCCTTATGAATCATAATCCTAATTCCTCACCCAGGTTCATAACCCTTATTTCATCCTGGTTATTAGGTGGACACCCTCAAGGTCACTTTAACGTCGCTCAAAGGTCATCCATAAATTATAGTCTCATCTAGGACATATTAAATAATTGATTCAACTCATTTTTCTTTCTTGTTCTAAAATATCATCTCTCGATATCGTTAAAAACAAAATGCTACAAAGTCTAAATCCTTAGATATCAGAAATGCTTGAGTCCAACCCTTGAAGAGTTCACATATTAGATTGATGATAACTATCTAAACCAAAGTCGAAACATCGATCAATTAGTTAAGTTTACAAATGTCATTCATATGGAATTCTTTCATATTAATCTACATATATTATTACCTACATTAGCCAACAAG